GACGTCATTTGGCTGAAACGAACGAAAGTAAATACGTATTTACTATCCACAAATATAGCTTATTATTTCCAGAGACGGCACAAGTAGGGATATTGAAATATTTTACCATGTTCTCCACACAGAAGATAGAAAACACTTTCTATATTCTGTGGCTATTCCATTTAAAAATATTATACCTATTCTAGAACTGCAATCGTTGAAAATTGTATCAATGACTAACGCTAGATTAACATTATGTAATTTGATCGTGAATTTCAGTATTGTTGGTTATAAAGTGGTTTCTAAGTTATCTTTTACATGCTTTTATTTACCAAAATTCCTTAAGACGTAGTAAAGTGTAAAGTGCATCTGATGCATAGTCAGTTTAACTATGTTTTAGCGTAGACTTGTAACTTAGCATTTGTATATTAGTTTAGCCGGCAGCCCCGGATTCGGCTCATGATTACGCAGTAGTTTTTAATTATGTCTACTTTGCGCCGCATGAATATTCTCTGGAGTATTTCATCAACTTGTTTTCGCTACGTTCAAACGATGCAATTTACTTTGAAAATCTTCATAGAGCTATTCGAAGAAAATTACTACGTTTTTAGATTAGAATATCTTCTTCTATTTCAATTTGAATTTAGTTCCAAATATAGAATTAACTCACAAGATCTAAAGAATCAAGATGTCTTAAATCAAGTTAGTCCGTATACTTATTTATTACCCCCTTAAAATTAGAGAGCCCAAGATTCTAAATTAACTCATGTGTTTTAGTGAAATGTTAAAGAACCCTACAATGCGTTGATTTGATTTTGATATAGACCTCCAAGATCACGTATTCTTAGTTGTAGTGAAACTCAAATAAAAAAAAATAAAAAACATTTATTACCCTTCACAATTCAGGTACACAAATACAATAGAAATTAGGCCGAGGATTTCTAACCTAAAGTGCGGGGGACTGGTGCTTGAAATAGGTTTCAAAAGAGAAACCTGTGCTACGGGTCACTTCATCGCCTTATTTACTAAATTGCATGTGTACCTACACAATTATTTAGTTTTTGCATGATCAATAAAATTATATGATCATTCACTTAACTAATAAATGAAAATCTACAATACTGTTAATAACCGCAAAGCTGTCAGCCCTGCGATGCGGCTGCCGGCCGCTGAAGGACGGAAGATGAAAGGCCCGGCCGCATTCGGCGCGACAAAGGACTTTGTCTCCTCACGCCCCGCGCGTTAACTTTGACTCGCGACGCGCTGGACAAAGGTACGCCGGTGTTTATGTTGCCGGCATCGCTTATTCGCTACATCTGTAATTAGATATTATGATTCTAATACCTTATTAATATTGCGTGTTATACATATCGCCTGATGTTAGGCTCACATTTATGACAAGTGGTGATCGCCTTACTTACCATGCAATCAAGGTAGACACTGAACTGAATTTATGAACCATCAATCCTACACAAAACTCCTAACTCACTAATAAATTAATGTCTTGGTCTATTAATAGGATTAGCAAAAGATCCCTTTTAATTAAATTTGACATTATTTAATCTGTAGTCTAGGCTTCGTCACTACTTATTATGCCAGCTCGTAAGCCAACTTTCATTTCAGTACTTAAAAATAAAGCACTATATTTTTAAAAACATTTGACTAATTATACCATCAAAGGATGCTAATATATTTTAAATTAATTTTATTGAAGCAGGACTGAGCACCCGTTGTTTGGGCGAACCCCACGTTGGGCGCCAATAAACGCACGGGTGGCAAATTGTCGCTGTATAAAGTTTTAATTCGACTCGTATGTTTGATGATAGTGCGCGCACAAAGTGCAGAAGTAATAAAGGGGTGTCGAGTGTTCACAACTCGCATAGTTCAGGCACGCCCTCGCTTCGGCAAACTGAGCGATATTCCGCCGTGAACAATACATTAACCCGGCTCACGCGTGACCAAACAATACGCTACATTTATTGTTGTCGAACTACAGAAAAGTCAATTATTTAGACAAAAGAATCGTATGGACAAACAGTTGACATGTTATCGTTTGAACGGTCAAGGGTCAAAGCGCGTTCCTCGAGCGGCCTAATCGCAAAGAGACAACTCAAAGTGGAGCGTGCAAATTCGAGTCGGAGCGGGAACAATAAAAGTGCAGGTGGACCGCGGCCGGGCGCCTTTGCCGCTCCCGCACATCAAAGGCCCGCCCGCGATACCATACAAAAGCCCTAATGAGACAAACCCGTGGCGTAATCGAGGCGACGGAAAAAGATGAGGCCCGAGAGGTACGAGGCAAATTTTAATAATTGTCAAAGCGGCGGCGCCTCAGATCATAGAAAGAGAATAGATATGAAGTCGCGCGTAACTACAACGAGAACCAGTGTCCCCACATTTCCCCCACCACAGCTCCCACACACACATTCAACTGTGTAAAAACAAAGCGACTGAGAGTCTACGACAACATGTGCAACCGGCTTAAAAGTGCTGTGATTGGCCAGAAGGCGTGCCTTATGGCCAATCAATGGCCGCGTGACGTGACGCACACTTTGAAAAAAGCAATTAGAGAGAAGAAAGATAAAATGGAGTCGATAAGATATCGATACTTTAAATCCTGGGGGCAAGGCTCGAAATTGGTTTAAAAAATGCTTGTATGAAAACCTTTTTATTATTATACGTTATACTATGTTACGACCGGCACATGCGGCCGTACTGTGTATTTTCACGCGTCAGTGGATATCGGAAGAAATAAAATACATTGCGCAGTAGTTACGCATGACATAAAGTGGTTGCTAACTAAATCGTCAATGTACAACGTGTTTGAATTTTTATCACCACTAATTTCGATATCGCAGTAAATGTCACGGCACTGAATTCGTTCGTAAAAATGTTTAGTTTTTTTTATTTATAAGCAAAATACCAATGGATTTGCAATACTTACATGTGGTAAATGACTTCATTGTTCCTGTAGTTCTTCGTTTCACTTATGTTATTGCACGTTACGACGCATTATCCAACAATATCGGAGAACATTTCCTCAGTACGACTGAATCGCGACTAACCTGGCGTCGCGGCCGATGTTCGTTTCTGGGCATATCGCGGAGACACGCGCCACGCCCCCGTTTCACATCTATTCCCTTCTATGATCTGAGGGCGGCGCCGATCAAACGCGAGGGGCGGCCCCCCGCACCTGTGACGTGTGCGCGTCGCGGCCTCATTAGCGCTACTGATCTAATGCGACTTCGAACTTCTAGCGACGTCTAATTAAACTTAAACTGAATTTCAATTTTACGTTTGAAATTTTAATACTTAAAGCCGAGCCGCGGAGGTTCCGCAAAGGAGGCGCGTTCAAAGGCGACGCCGTGCACGTTTTCGCAGATATTAAATGTGTTGACAATTTAATTTTTCATTTCCTTTAGGCGGCACGGGGCGGCGGGCGCGGGCCGCCGCGCCTTTGACGTCGCGATATTGTCTTTGTGCGGCGCGTGGGGTGAGTGGGGCCGCTGTCGACGGAGACTTTGTCGCAATACAATGTGTATCAATAAAACTTAGGATTGGCTTTTAGTGGTTGCACTTACGCTTTGTGAGGCGGCGGGCTCACCCTTTGACATTATATGTGGGGCGGCGGGCGCGGCGTTTGTGTGTGTGGGGTAATAATGCAGGCGGAGACATGCCGGCAACGCCGGTTTATTAATATCGGAGCGATCGCGGCTCTCACGCGGCACGGCGCCCGCGGACGTTTGCGGGTTCGACGCAAATGATACTCTTGCAAATACCCCCTTGCACTTCAGTGCAGCTTATGAATTTGGACTGCTAAATTGGACATAGGCGGATCAGATTCTTGTATGTAGTTCCGTGCAGCAAGCATAATGTATGAAATGAATGCTAGAGCACAATATAATAGTGGGGTAGAAGATAATGTATGATATGAATGCTATGACACTACTAATAATGAAAAATTTAAATTAATTGAATCAACACACAATAATTTGTAAACCGACGGACAAAATTCTGAAATTCTGACCATTGAGTAAAAAAAACAAAAGTAAAGATGATGATAGTGAAAGATGTAAAGGAAGTCCAAAAACAGAAAGAAAAAACAAAAAGTGTAGGTAATTATTGAGTTCATATTGATGAGATCTTGTCTTGATTGACTGAAAAGAACGAGTACTTTGAGTAAAATAAATTAGCTACATACTGAGTCTCTACTCAAAAAACTATTTTGAACACGTTCAAAGGTGCCGGCGCATACAGATGAAATGTATGTGACATTTACTAGTGACCTTATGTGGGCTGATGTGTATTGGTGTACTGTGATATAACTTCTTGGAATCGGCTCGCTGCATCAACTACACGTGTAACAGAATTGATACTTCAATCAGACAGCACTGCTAATAGCAGCATCAAATACATTTGCGACCGAACACTAATATGCCGTACATAATAAATTGGCAGTCCACGAGATCAAAGGCCGTGATTGAACTAGTATTATTAGACTTAAATAGAACTCTTCAAAGAGTCTTCGATCGCGTGATTGAATTACGGAATATTTAATTTGAGCACTCATCATAATAGAAATGGATTTAATAGGACACCGGTATTCATGCTCTTTGATCTGCGCCGTTCAAAGAGATGCGTGGCCTGTGCAAAACGCTTTAGTGTGTCAAAAAAGTCGTGTGGCTTTTATCCTTTGAGGCTTTGACCGTAACTGCGTAACTGACCCGCTGCCGTATTATCGGGATTGCATTCAGCGGGGTAGCGCGGCGTGCATGTGGAAATATCAACCCACCCGCGCCGCGGGCCCTTTGGCAGCCGTCGCAACGCTTCCTCGACTGACCATAAAAAGTATCCACATTTTTGTAATAAAATTACCTGTTTTAAAAGGACGTTACTACCGAGATTAAGGCGCAGAGCGATGTAGTTAGTCGTCGGCGGCTGATCAAAGGGCCGATGTGGCCAATGGCGGGGCTCGGATGGGCTTTGCTCCGCCTTCATTTGAGGCCACGTGCTGCGCGCGCACGCTGCCGGCTGCGATCTGACAGTTGCCGCCGAGCCCCTCGTCGCGACGAGACGCTGCTCTCCCGCGACTTAAATTCACGACGCGTTCGCGGAGTTCGAGAAAACCATTCCAAACTTTTAAATACCACTATTTAACCTTAGAAGTGTTAACCATCGTATCTCGTAAAGTAGTTTCAACTAATTTAGTGTGTTTAAATATCATAATCAGTGTCTATCGTATTATAATCGTTAAATTAAGTGATAAAGTGTAAAAAGTTCAGTGTTGCAAACTTTTTGGATTGATTCAATAAAACTGGATTGATATAGTCGTCTTTAGAGTATCAGGTATTAAATTTTGAACTGTAACAGAGTTTGCCCGCCGGGTGTGGTAACAAAAAGTTTTTTCGAAGTGTCGGCATCCCTCGGTACGGTCACGGCAAGTTTTTTGTTAGAGCCCGTAGCGTATTTTAAATATTTATTGGAATGCCCTATTGTTTTGAATGTCGCCATTGTTTCAAGGATGTGCCTGCTAGTGCACTCGATATAAAGTTATTGTACGGGCCTGCTTTAATGGCACTTTTATGGGTCCTGTTCACATCGCTTCATTGTTTGGTTTTGTTTGGGTTAAATCAAAGGTTCCGTTGCTTGCATTTTTAAATTTATTGTTTCTTTTTAGCGCTTAAGTTCTTAGTTCACTGTTTTTAGTTGAAGGTCAATGTTGTAATAAGTTGTACCTACTTGTTTTCAAAACCAATTACCGCATGTAAAAGTAGATAAATTATTAAGTATTTCATTTATTCTATTAGTTATCGATGGTGATAACTTTTTAAAAATAGAGTTGCGCTTATTATAATGTTTAAAGATAAGTCATCTTTACGATGAGAAAAAATGCAACAAGAAGTTTCACATTTCATAAATCGAACTATTTTTATCAATTACAGTAATTAATCTTAATTTTAATTGCACTCTATCAGTAAAAATCTTCCGGATTTTTTTAAATACCTAAAGTCTAAATACTAAAGTATAATAATAACTAATAAGCAATTAAATTGTTGACGACACTATACTACAAACATCTATCAACTTTATTTAATTTAATTCATCAAAGATAATACTAATACATTATGTTAAATTGTAGTGTGATGCTTTTAATATTTGTACCTAATACATAAAAACAAACTAATTACAATTATAAATTAAAAAAATATCTATTATAAAGTAGCGTACGTAATATTTACATTCGCTGTATTTACTTATGTTAATAAACAAAATCGTAATTGCCAAGCTGCGCGTGCGCTACTCGAAGAAAAGACATCAACGCGCATCCGTAGCAAGCGCTGCGTAGGAGTGCACGACTTTGATAACATCTCATTTTCCATTTAATGTGGTTACTTCATACTAAACACGCTAAAATAAAGCAAGGAAAATATTATCATCATTAATCATAATGTATTCCAAGAACAAATAAAACAGTGAGAAGTTATTGTTAAAAACATGTACTGTTTTTGAACTTAATTAGTTCAAAACATTTGTTAGTAAACTTTTTATAGATTCATTTTGCCCGCGGCTTCACCCGCGTGAGATTTCGTTTGTCACAGATCGTCATAAATTATAGCCCAAATGTTATTCTGGGTTATAAAGAATAATACTGTAAAGTTTCATCAAAATCCATTCAGTAGTTTTTGCGTGAAAGAGTAATAAACATCCAGACATCCAAACTTTCGCATTTATAATATTACTAGGGGATCAGTATTCTGTTATTTTACTCAAACCAAAATGATCTTTATACCATACAAAATTTTAATATTAGCCGCCATAATCTTAGCGTGTATTATTTCGAAGATACATGCCATTAGACCACCACCTCAAAGTGGCGTGCGCCCTCGCATCAGTCCGCTCCGGCCCGCATACGATTACCCGGAGTCCGAATTAAAAGCGCCAGGTGAATAAAACACCTAATTAGCTACATTATCGCGCCGTCCGCCGCCCTCATGAAAGCATAATGCTAAAAGCACCCTTTCAGGTGCGCACGCGGCGTCTTTGAGCCAGTCTCAGAAAAAGGATCGCTCCGTGCTAATTTCCAAACTCGGTTTCGCACAGATAAGGATAGACTCGGGAGGAAGGTGTCTTTGATGTAGCCGCCCGGCCCTCTGACTCCGGGGATGAGAGCTTTCAATGAAAGGATTTTTTTTTCATCTTCTTTCCCTTTGTACTTAATTTAAATTTCGTTTATATCAATGCTCCGAGTTTCCTTTTGGTGTGTTTTCTCTTTTACTTTGTCGCGTTTATCCTCTCCAATTTGTTATATTCGAGTTCGCTTTGTAATTAAATTTAGTGTTGGTAATCTGTTCGCTCTAAATTTTTTTCCATTCCGTGAGCTACCGGTGTAATTGCAATTTATAAATTAGGTGTCCCTTTGATTTCGAATGTTCCCTGGAAACGCTTGTTTTCAAAAATTTGATTGTGTCCTTTGTAGTTCGGTTCTCTTTGACGTTGTTCTGTCGGCGGTCTCTTTCATGTCTAGTGTGGATTACATACCCACTTGCGATGTGGTTATTTAGCGGCTACATTATAACGCTCAAAGAATAATTACAAATCCGAGTAATTGCAATAGATTATAAAAACAAATACAGACTGTTAATTAAACTATTTACGTAGGCCAGTTTCAAATAAAAATAATTGATGTCATGTTTCGACATCGTGAAATTAATATATTATCCTAAACGCTAAATTTCAATTAAACGAGTTATAAAATTAATTGTTAGTCGTAAACGACACTGTTAATTGTAAAGCGTAATTAAAGTTACTGGCGCCTAGTTCTTGGTTCACAATTAAGAGGTTGATTATGCAAGTGTTTGCCGTCCGTCGTTAGTTTTTCGTCAGTTGTTTCGGCGCTCGGGCCTTTGACGCAAGTTCCGACGCGCCAAGAGGCCGGCACGAAGTCCGCTCTGACTACCAAAGCACACAACCTATGCCGAACATTACACTGCGTTACACGATTTTGGTACCCGTGAAACTGATAGCTGGAATGAATAGGTAATTAGCCATAGATAAAAAGTTCCAAACATATGTGGTATCCATCACGTCTAGTTCTCGAGGTACAAGTCAATCATTATTTTAACTACCCTCACTTTAGGCGTTTAAGAACAGTTGAGGTTTTCGATGTTATTATACTTTTTTATTGTTTTATTTCATATAAAATCGTTTCTATTCAATATCCTCGATATCTCTGAGCATATTTATTTGAAAATCCAACATGACTACTGAACTAAGTGGCNCTGTAATGACGAATACATAAATAGTAAATATCTGTTAATGCCGATCGATCGAAAATAAGCGATCTTTTTCTTACTGATGGCCGGATTTCATCATGCAGCTGAGTCTGATGACATGTAGCAGTTCAGTCAGATTACGCAGCAAGTAAACTAATTTGATTTTCGGTATTTAATCGCACACTCACGATGGCAACCGAAATCGCCCGAATTCATCTGTCCCCTAGACAAGTGGCAAAATCTGACATTCTATTCGGACGGATTCGATTTTCGAAAAGTGTGAATTGTCTAGTCTACTAGACCCACTGATCGCGTTCGAAGCTCCTGTGCGGCGCTAAACTTGTCACGACAGGCAACGTGACAATGGGCCAACTATCCGGCCGCCGGATATCCGGCTATCCGGCCTAGCAGCTCGCCGGATATCTGGTATCCNACGGTTTTTTCAAAGTTAACTGACGCAAAACTCAAAGAAGGGATATTCATGGGACCACAAATACGCACATTGATGAAATACCTAAATTTTGCCAAAAAGCTTACTGACAAGGAACTCGATACCTGGTTATCACTGAAAGCAGTTGTAAAAGGGTTTTTAGGGAACCGTAGAGCCGAAAATTCATAACAGCTAGTTAACAACATGTTAAAAGCATACGAAAAGTTGGGTTGTAGAATGTGGTTAAAAATTCACTTTCTTCATTCCCACTTATCTTTCTTTCCATCTAATCTTGGTGCTGTCAGTGATGAGAGGTTCCACCAAGATGTAAAGAAGCTTAAAGAACGATTTCAAGGCCGTTGGGACACAACTATGCTAGGCGATAACTGTTGGCGTCTAAAACGAGAAAATCTTTCAAAACACAAAAGACAATGTTAAAATTTAAAGGTATTTTGGGTTTAAATTGTATGAATTGATTTTTCTTATATTTTTTATACCTAAATGATAAAAAATAAACTTGATTGATGTATAAAAATCTGGTATATTTTATTAGATTTCTTTAAATTATGTTCGATTCTTTCAGTTTTTACCATAATTTAGCACATCCTCACGGAAAAAAATGAGACGTGATAGGAAGAAAATATCCATGTATTCTTACTAAACGATAGGAATTAATAAGAAAACACTACATTTCAAAGCGGGTACTTAATTTTTTTTTTAATTTGTAACGCAGTGTTACCATAACACAAGGACACCAGTTAAGTCTTTCCGATTTAAACATCAAAGTCCATCAAATCTCTTTGATCTCCATCAGATCATCGATATAAGGAAATACACGGTCGCATAGGTGACCCTTTGATGATTGCGCATTGTTTGCGACTGGGGTATTCGTGGGACTTATTTATTATTGGGTAAAACTCGTGTTTTGCTTTGAGGAATAAAAATAAAGGAATTTCATTAATGTAGAGCCAAATAGGTATTTGATAGAAGTCGTACGTCGATTCCAATCAAGGTGTTGATTGGAACTAACTGTTAGCGTAATTTTGTTTATAAATTGGCCGTGTGTTGTATAATGCGGGCGGGTATTGTGAAGGCGTCGCGAGACAAAGAGTTTGTCGCGAGGAGTTGAAACACACGGAGCGTTTCCCGCGGCGGCGGCGGCACAAAGGCGCCACTTTGCGGAGTCGTCTTTGACTCACGAGAGTGTGTGACCTACCATTAATAACCTACTAATAGGTCTCCCAGCTCGCAACCCCGCTACATCAAGACTTCTCTGAAGATATACGTTATTAGGTTAGGTTAGGATTATCGTTTTAGAATCCTTTGGAATAATCCTCTTGTGAACGAATGAGAGCTATTACGAATTCTTGTTACATGTTATTATTAGGTTACCTTAACTCTATTTGAAGGGCAAGTACTGCGCAATATTATGTCCCTCTGATGTTTCGAAATTTCACGAACCTTTAATCTCGAATAGAACACTCGTAGATTCAATTTTTCACATAATTTTATTAGCGACAGTTTAATTAGAGCACCTTTCATCGGAGCCGCTTTGAGATTGTGAACGTTTCAAATAGATTTCACAAGAAGCACTTTCAAAGAGAGCACCCCTAATAAGTACTGAAGAGTCCTCGCACGTGTTTATCAAAGACAGCCTTTCGTTACTCACCGTCTGAATGGCCTCAAAAGAAACTCGTGTAAAATGCTCCACAAAGTGCCGTATCAAAGGAAAGGCGGGCGCAAATATCTGTTTCGTAAACTAGTAAAAACGGAGCTCTCAAAGGTACGCGTACTCGCGGCAAATTAGGCGGAGTTAAATACAAGCGCCGCTCTCACAAATGTATAACTTTGAAAGTGACTCCTCGCTCATTATTTATGTAAGTCGACGTAATCGTCAAACGACTCCCGCGTTTTATTTTTGACAACATTACCCGTTCGGTCCGGCGTGCGCCGGCCGAGGCGCTGGCGGGGCCAGCACGTACCCCTCGCATGTGTATCCATTTAATGCTCAATTCCCATATAATTTAACTTTGCGATCAAAGCGAAATTTTGCAAAGAGCTTCCCGGCGGCGGCAGGCCGGGAGGCGGGTGCGAGCGGGACGCCGACATCGGAGTTCTCGAGATCAAATGCTGGGCCAAATTAGTCACTCTCCGTCTCTCTATCTCAAAGCCGATCCGTAGCAAAGTTTGCGCGAAGATGACATCAAAAGGAAACCACACACTGGGGTGGCGCGCCCGGCGCCCCCGGCCCCATACTTAAATCCGCCGTGTCTCCGTCTTATTGACACGCGACTGACGACTCGCAACTCGCAAGTCGCCAGCGCCGACTGTTCAGACGCGCTCCGCTTTACCAGTCTTATTTAGTTAATTAATACGGAATGTCCTATCAACTTCCAACTCCCACAAGGCAGCTACTCGTACACTTACACGGATCGACTCTAGAGAAACTTTAATCGCATGGATATGTTTCTACGTGCCTATGTGTACGAACAAACTTGTAACTCGCTTCCTTTAATTAAGGACCTCTGGTTTGTCGAATGGGTATGAAAATGCTTTCATTCATCATTTAACATGTTAACGGGTATTATGTTATGTTTCCTTTATTTGGAAACTGTACTTAGTATGTTTTTATTTACACAATAATTAGATATTTGTTTAGTACCTTATCGTAATACTTATCATAGATTTTTTGGACAATGGCTCTACAAAATCTATCATAGGTATTATTCGTTCGTTCGTTCGTTTCAGCCGAAAGACGTCCACTGCTGGACAAAGGCCTCCCCCAAGGATTTCCACAAAGACCGGTCCTGCGCCGCTTGCATCCATAGGTATTATTATGCATACGTAATACGGAGCAAAGTACATCTTTTGCTCCGTAAATAAGTCCAAAATCTAATTAATACGCATTATAAAGGTTTCAAAATATTCAAGATTTTTATAATTTCGGAATGGAAAACAGTAAGTACCACCTACTGCTTTAAATAAAATTACGAAAAGAGATGAAAGAGCTTCGGTTAGGTTTCCCAAAGTTCTGAAGCCTTAGAAACGAGTTTCAACTTGGGCTAAACTTTAGTTTCTCAACACAAAGCTGGCAGTTGTATTCTTATTTGTTGAAAATTGCCTTTTTGAATGTTTCGCAACGCTGTAAAGGTACTTGGGGAGGGATACAGAAATAGGCTCGGGTGATTTAATTTAACTGGATCTTGCCAAATCTAAAAGGATATTTTTAAGTGGTTATTTTTGGATTAATGGTTATGGCGACGCCGCATCTGTGGTGCTCATTATAAAATCAAATAAAACTTCATTGCACTATAAAATAATGATAGATTGGCCATTAAATATGAAAAATAAAATTGTCATAAAGCCAGAGATCAAAGAACAATATTTTGAAAAAGGTGTATTTTTGCTCCAGTAGATAGGTAGATTCTACAGGGTTAGATGTAACTCCTAGTTATCACCTTGTAAGAATTTCCAAAAAAAATGCCACAAAAATGTTTAAATCCCACACAAGCACGTCTGGGAGAGGCTCGGCGGCGGCGGCATTGTGCCCAGTTTACGAGCGGCCGGTCGGTTCCTGGAACTTGCGCGCGCGCCTACCTACGCCGCTGCCCCTTTGTGACGTCACAACACGAATATTTGACTTTCGGTTCACCCTAATTGAAGTTTAGTGTAGCCTCGCTGTTTGCTCTTCGTTATTCGATCCACTCAAGTCGGCTTTGGGCATATTAGGCGATCTGCTTTGTGACGATAAGCCGCTTAGCTAAGCTCGTTATTACTTTATGGCGCGATAACAGTCAGTGCTCCCTTTGTTTTACATTGTTACATTCTTTGTTTGTTAGGTACTCAGTTTGGAATGTTTTTAACGTTCAGTGTTTAGACGATGACTTTCAACGACGTTCTGTTCAAAGTCAAAATTACTATTACAATCAACGCCATATTCCCTACGATTTCTGTAGTTGCACATTAAAGTAAGATTTCGTATGGAACGTTAATCGGCAATCTCCCGTAATAATAACATATTCGTAACAATAGCCCAATAACTTTTTGTCTTCATTTCCCTTTCACTGCAGCCCATCCATCACGGCCACATCATTCGATATGTCAGAACTCATCCAATATTCGGCCTCGTCGCCACTATTCAACTTTTTGTGCCATACTGCAGTTATAATACGATTATAATTTCAGAGTATCAGCTGCCATTTTGCTCAACTTTCATATTACTTAACGCCCGCTGGGTTCGTTTTATTTTGTTTGGTCGTTGTGTTGTATGGACTCACAATCCATGGGAATCGGAATTTCATACCGGTTGCAAATGCCGATAAAAAAGGGTTTTTGTTTGTAACATACAAAGCGCACAATTATAACATGCAGTGACAATTAGCTTAAACGATTTGAAGATGATACACAGACCTCTACTCTCTCTATCTCTAGAGAGACTCTACCAAGTTACAAGTTATCAGATGGTGAAGATTATTATTTGTTTTGTTTGAAACTTATTATTTTTTTCAGCGAAACATTTTGTCCAAATTGTAAAAGGAACGGTAAACGGTACAGTGTTCCGGTATATCGGTTTCAGCGCTCACGTAACCGGAATCAAGCCCTAATGATAGGGTTGGCATCGGCTTCCATTGAGCGGGACCGGTTCGAGCCGGAATGCTGCGAGCGCGGCGTGCGGTGCGCCCGCGCACTAGGGCTGCTCGGGATTAGAATATAACAATCACTAGTCATCTGCTACCCATATTCTATGCCACATAGTATTGCTACTATGTCCCTTTGTTCCTTTTAAGCTATTTGTTTCTCTATCTGTTGAGAGTAATGGAATGGAAATCGTAACATTATCGCTCTGCCTTAATAAATATGCTTCAAAAAGTTCGATTTTGATTATGAGTACAGACTCATGTCATGCATGCATGCATGAATTATGTGCCTAACCAAATAATATCCACAATGATGTAATTTGGTCTGGCACATGCTTGTTGTTAGCCAAATCGATTTTTGATGGAAACTTGAGTGGTTTGTTCTACTCGGGCTGCTCGAAAATAACTCTAACCCGTGGGTTTCATTTTAGGCCAAACTGTAAGGAGATGGTGTAGATCCTGGCTATAAAGGAATTGAAGAAGTGGGATTAGTCCCGTTTCTCATCAAAAAACTTTTGTGTGCACGAAATGATCCATTCAAGCAGTTACAGAATAATAATAACAATGTTAAGTCTGTTTCTACATTTGGTTTCGGTAATTCACTACAATATCTCTAGTCCTTGGCAGTCAGCCCTGTGCGCGGCTCGCTGGCGGCTTTTTGCTTTGCGCGTCGCCCACGCGGCCGCCGGCGCCGGCGCAGCGCTGATGTCCGATAAAGGACACGTTGCTAATATTTGATGGCAATGTTCCTCGCTCGTACAGCGTCGTCTGCCTTGCCCGGCGGTCTATTTAATGACACACATTTAACGACTTCCCTGTCAAGATAAGACGCGGTTAGATCTCTCTTTTTGTGGCTATAAATAAACTGCAACAATGAATCATGATCTTGTAATCATGCGCCAACATTTGTATTGTTATCTTGACCTAACACAACGTTTCTCTATGTGCGTCACTTGTTGCGTTTATTATTCCGTAAAAGAACGTAAAGATTATTTTTGTCCCTGTACGTTAGTAAATCGATTATGAATATGCGAACTAATAAATCAATATAATGTTTGTCGATAACCACAACAAAGCATGTTTATTCGAACGATATTATGTTCTTTCACCAAATTATTTTAAATAGTCCTATTGCCAGTGGTTTTGGATCTCAAAATCTTGAAGTATAATGGAAAACTTAATGTCCTTCGAGTCTAGCAGACACGTCGAGGGCCCGGCTCGAGGGCTGCACAAATAAGCAGGATCATCCGCCATTACCTGATTGCCACAAAATTGCGCAAATAAATCATCTGCACTGCTTTGCAAGAAGCGCATAAGCGTTCGTTTGTTTGTTCATGGGGATAAAATTAATAAATAATGTTCTTTATTTTACCATCTCCAACATGCTACGTTTACTCTACCACGTTTACCGTCCACGTCGATGATTCTACTTATCTGTGCCATAGAGGAATGTTTATTAAAAAGTGTGTTTAAATGTGTTTTTATTACAATAAACCGAAATTCAGAGTCCATTACGTCTACTTTAACTGCACTACACTCAACTACTAATCTTTGTAAACAAACAGTATACATTTATGTGTCTATTTATTTATCTTAAGATGTCTATTTGTATTTACTAAAAATATACTTTAATCTTAATTAAAGTTTCTCTTTTTAACATATTATTTGTATTGTTTCAGGATGATATTATCCTCATACCCGGCACCGTTCAGCTAAGTTTTAATAAAGGTAAGTTATTTTAATCTCTACTACTTATGGTGTATAGTATAACAAACTATAAATTATAATCAATTGTACTAATTATACAATAAATTACTCGTAAGTGCCGCATTAGTTATTAAACCACAATTTTCATTACATTGTGATTTAAATAATCACAATGTAATCAAAATTGTGGTCACCACCTACGCATTGTTAAAGAAATAATGAACATTTGTGCATGATTGCAATATACCAAGACCACCAAAATAAAATATCAATTATAGATCCGCAAAATCGGCAAACCTGGTCATCGAGAAATTATTGTTAACGATACAATACCGTTTCGATACTTCGTTACCGATATAATACCGATTACTTTGCGATATAATAGCAGTTATTTCGCTTTTGTTACGCTTCAGCCGGACTCTACCTGCTGACTGAGTACCGAATATCTGTCGTAATCACTTTTCCTTAATAGTTTTCTAGTTGTTATTGGATTTAGTGGAAAATGAACATCACAAATTGACTTTCTCATCTCGATCCAAACTACACTTTCTTAAAAACAAAGATGAAATCAAACGAGAACGTATGTACTCTTGGTAACGTTTCTTGGTAGATAGGCGTTGATGAGAGCCAAGATTAAGTAAGGGACGAGTAAGATTTAACGAAAGCTAGGTGCTCTTTGTATTCGCTAAAACATGAATGTTTAAAAATATACTGTAAATGTCAACCGGTACACCCACAACAAAAATACAAATGCAACATTAATATGACTTGGCAATTTAATTTCCTTTGAGACTTCAGCCGACGAGAACCAAAACTACCGATCTCATAATCCCATTACTTCTACGCGTTTACTCTCAAAAGAGGCAACAGTTTAACGTTAAATCTCGCGTCGCACAGTAGTTTGATATTAAAAAAAGGTGGACATACGATCGAAAGTCATAATTTCACCGAAACAAAAATTGTTTTGGATAGCATTTTGAATGCTGATCAACATTTGTCATTATGCATTTTTCGATAAAACGAGCCTTTCATGCTTAAAAAAAATATGACAAGAAAATTTGTATGGAGAAAAATCTTTTTTATTTTTTTTCTGGCTACTGTTGCAAACTGTAGCGGTCAAACCTTATGTAGTCGTAAGTACCTATGGTGCCTAACATTACTACATAAATACTTTTTGCGGGCACGCGCGGCCAAGCGAGTAATGGACATGCAAAATTTTAAATATGTTTATTTATTCATTATTGATTTTAATGCACTTAAAGTAATTATTAATAGATAAATATACTAAGTCTAACTTACTACAGCCCCCTATTACCTCATTTCACGCTAAAACCTTTCAAACTAAAACATAAGTTTGTAGGTACCAGGTAGTCTAAGTTGTTTTTATTGTCATTATAATATTCACTACTGGTCTACTGGTTATCGCGTAAGATAGATTAGGTAGATATCTACCCTTTACCTAGGTATATACCTACTTCTTGGCACTTATAATACCGACATACATGATTAAAAAAAGTCTTCAAGCAAGAACCCTTGACTTCAATGGTTATGAAAGATTTTTTAACTTTCTAGAGTAGTCCTGAATNTGTCCACCTTTTTTTAATATCAAACTACTGTGCGTCGGGGAAAAACGAGCGAATTTTTATATTAAACCGGCTCTCGTAGGCTGCATTCACGTGAGGGGCCCTAGACGGCAAATTAAGTGACATTAGGGCATAATGCCCGGGAACGGAGACGAAAGCGAGTGGGCGCGCCACGCTAGAGCCACGAGCACCGCGGGCGCACAGTATGAGCAGAACAGCCTGCTCAAGTGCTCAGTGCCAAGTTAACCAAACACTTTTAGCAGTTCCTTTCAGATAACTAATAAGTGCGTTCCTCACGCAAGCACAATTTATGGAGCTATCCCCGGCGTAGGTGATTGATATCTTCGCGGTAGGACATTATGATCTGAGCCTGAACCGATTTTTTTTCGCAATATTTTCATGAATAACATCTTTCAATCAGGCTCGAATTCATAATTCGGGATCGGTATAGTAAGTAGATGGTCCTGTTGACCTGTTCATGATAATTTACATCTACACGCACCTATAAGTCAATGCAAATCAATGGATAACTGTAGCATTAATTAAAGATTGAGATTATTGCATGTCCACTAACCTCCTTCTTCTTCTTCCTTCTTATCGTGTCGACGACAAACCTACACAGTGGCAGCCCAATACTCCGCTACAAAAGTGGCGTTGTCAGCAGCATTCATTAAATCCTTCTGCGTACAGTTGCTCGGGCACTCAGGGCACGACATCATGGTGCTTCATTGACTGGGGATTACTGGGGGACACAACCGCATCTGCACTCCATGTTTGAGCCATCCAACAATCCCCACCTGACCAGATTGTCCTTACTACGGCCAACCTGCGTCCGAAGTCTATTTAAAGACTTCCAGGTAAGCCAGTACTTACCTCCTTTTCAAATATGATAAACCTGGCTCTTCTACCTACCCTGTGATAGATGGGATCTTGCCGGTCGCTGGAAAATATTGCAGCGCATTCAGCGCGGCAGCTTTTTCCTATAATGTTTAAAAGCGCTTTGTTAACGGCAGCGCCTTTGAATTGAGGCACGTCAATGAGTTTCTCTCGAGATTGTAGCAATAGCAACACTGCGAAGCATACACCCGGCGCCGGCGGCGAAGCGGGTTGCGCTGGCCCACCTGGCGCATTCGGTTTTTATTACTATAGTAAATATTTACAGCTTATAATTATAACTTCTTCAGCTTGAACTGGCATCCACGTATCCCCATTGGCTCTCCCCATGAATGGGAGATTAAGAACTTTTTTTCCACAAATCCTTATGCAGGAGATACCCTTGCAGTTCATAGCACAGAATGGGGATGGATTGTGATGAAGATGATAGTTATTGAATAAAGTCCAACAATGTATGTATTTGATGATAAAATATCCTTTATTTTGATTTAGTTTCACAAAAAACAATTCTCCCGTGACACTGTTGATGACATGACATTTTCTTCTTTTTATTACTTTATGGTATTAAACAGTTATCTTGTTCTTATTTGGTCTGTTGCCGACCTATAACTGAAATGGCTCATGGTATTGTGGTGTTTTAAACAACATTAAAGACAATGCATGCTTTGATGCTAATGTTAGCTACCTAAACCACAGAATAATAATAAGTACTACGTACAGAAGTTTTACTTCGCGAAGGTATTTAAAAAATGTATGCTCAATGTCATTAACAATATGGTGTAATTTAGCCTGTCTCAAGAGTCAAGCACCATTTTGTTGACAAACGTCAGTGATCGGCACTGCGCCGAAGCTATAGGGCTGACTTCGGTAAAATGATGTGACGTGAGGTGCCAAACTGCGGAAAATGGCGGAGGAAATACATGATTTAACATGAATTATCATGAATAATATTAACTACTTATTTACCTCTCAGTGTCTTGAGGCAACTTAAAAAAGTATATTCTGTGTTTTTATTATTATTTAGGCAGTTAAATACTGCACAGTATTTAGTACACCATTTTCTTTATTTTCTTCCATCATACACGTATGTCAGGCCTTGTCGAATAGTATCCTGTAGGTGGGCCATCGTGCGTGTTTTGTTTTCGATGTAAACTCGCGGAGATGAACAGGCCTGCCTAAACCTACATTCGTGTTATTGATAGATATTAAAAATAGGACCAAAAATCTTATAATAAAAAAGATATTCAAATTAAAGAAGATTGAATTCAAATACAACTTTTCTCCAGAGCGAATCAATTCTTCAGAAGCCTTTTCCTCCCGCAAATTAACCACTGAAGCCTATTATAAAACCAATCGTCTTCCACGAGTGTCTCAAATTGTGTCATTATTAGATATTTCACTTTTTCTCGCGTTAACCGATTTCTCGAGAGGCAGCTGCAACTCATTTCTCCGTTACCGAATTCTGTTCGCTGTCTAATTTTCTCGTTTCTTTTGATTACCGTAAGTAATGGTTTCTTGTTTTTGGTCTGCTCTATGTTTATATTTGGAGCGTTTTAAAATAAAACTATTCCTACACAGATGCGAGTATTTCAAAGAGACTCAAATTATTATTTAATTACATACATACTCGTATTATAGAGACGACCCGGAAGCGGCAAATCATAAACGAAAGACAACAGCGACATTTATAAGCGACCGCTAATACCGTCCTACGCAATATGAATTTAAGAACACGTGTTAGGTGTTTGTTAAATCAGAAATAGCTCTTACAACTCTACCGCCTACTTGAAAAAGCTTTAATTTACCTTATTAATGTCTTAGTAGACTGAAAATAGTTTGCTCCGCTCCTATTGGCCGTAGCGTGATGGTATAAAACCTATAAATCTTCTTCAATAAATGAGCTATCCGACACAAAAAAAATTTAAGTCAGATCAGCCGGGCTAGGATGCGCGTCGTGATATACTCTTATCGACATCAAAATGTATGGGCAAAATCGATAAAATAGCGTGATAAATAACCGCTTATCGCGGCTCGCATCCTAGGCCTACCGGACTTTCTGGAGATTAACGCGTTCAACCAAACAAACTCTTCAGCCTTATAATACGAGTATTACTATAGTATAGATATCTTTCATCATTAAGATCGCCTGTTGTACCGATATTTGTTATGTGTGTGTAATAAAGATTTTAAATAAAATAAATAAATATCTTCGATATCATCATAAAGTCACTACTTCGTATCCTTTTCCAAGGCTTACCTGCCAATAGGCCATCCGCTCCAATTTTCCTTCGGCCAAGGAGATGAGCCGTCTTCGCATATAATGCCAGCAGATTAACCATTGTTGCCGGCCATTGTGGCCCGGACATTGTGACTTTCCGCAAACTATTCTTAGGCTTAGCTTATTAAAGTCACTTTTGTGAAGTGGAAATCCAGTTTCTTGAAGGCAATCCGATCCTGAGCGCTTTCTGTGAACAAATAAGTAGTACAAAAGACATTACCATTTGAAATTGAATATTGACTATATTATATGTAGGTTGATTGATG